GCCGCCGAAGCTGATTGAGTCTGAGCCTTAACCTGGCCATTTACTGAGCGCTTCTTTCCGGCCATTGCTCCGAGCGGTATGGAAAAAAGAGTTGTGGTTGGGGAGGGAGGGTGAAAGAGATCTAGAGGGACATGTCGCGTCGCGTCACAAAATCTTTATCGATAAAGGCTATCAACTGCTTCGATTTCCCGCACCATCGCTCAACCCCACAATCCCCCCCTCCAAAGCATGCATATGTAATAATGACTTCTATAGTGAGCCTAATGCGGCAAAAGCTCCTTCATATCCATCTCCCAGGCCTCGTCCCTTACGCCACAGCCGCCCGCCTACAAGAAACACTTGTCTCCCGTTTCCTCGCCGCAAAGCCGCCCTCCACCACACCCTTGCCTCCTCCACACATTATAACCGCATCCTTTCACCCCGTATACACCTGCGGCCGCCGCGAAATCGGCAGCGTCTCCCCAGCCCAACAGGCCCATCTACGTGCAGAAGGCGGCGCCGACTTTGTCGAAGCCCTACGAGGCGGGCAAACCACATTCCACGGACCCGGCCAACTCGTCGCATATCCGATCCTCGACTTGCGCTCGCACAAGCTCACGCCCAGACACTATGTTTGCCTTTTAGAAAAGAGTTTGATAGCCACGTGTGCGCACTTTGGTGTCAAGGCTATGACGACGGAGCATACGGGCGTGTGGACGAGTCCTGATGATAAGATTGCGGCCATTGGCGTGCATATGCGGCGGAATGTGACGAGTCATGGGGTTGGGCTGAATGTCGATACGGATTTGTGGTGGTTTGATCGCATTGTGGCGTGTGGATTGGAGGGGAAGAGGACGACAAGTTTGCAGCGTGAGGGGTGCGAGGGGTTGAGTGTTGAGGGAGTTGGGAAGGTGTTTGTGGATGAGGTTGCGGAGAGACTTGTGGGTGTAGATGGGGTGGAGAGGTTGGGGGAGGAAGAGGTGGAGAAGATATTGAGGGTGTGAGTTGAAGTTGGTCGGTGGATTCTCCGTTGTGAATGGTGTGAGGATTGAATAGTGATGGGTTTGAAGGAGATGTCTGATGCCCGGTAGAGATATCTTTCCTGACAGCGTGGCAAGTGCCTGGCTGTAGTATGTAGATACTGCAGATCATTGTATAGATATCGAGGCCTTTCCAACTACGAAAAGCCATGGCTCTCAATCAATTAATTGTATGCATGAGACAAGCATTATAAACTCTTTAAACCAAGATGCCTAGAATCTCTTCGGTCTCCAGTTCCCAAGAACGCTTGGTTCCATTTACCTGCTTACTACTCTCCAACTCATAAAATACTAATTTTCTTTTTGCCCAATTTAAACATCTTAGTTTCGAATCCCTTGCAGTTGTCTTATTGGAAAGAAAAGGTTCAAGTTGCACTGAGCTTCTCTGAATATCATCGGCCAAAACCATAGCACAGAAACCCTTTACTTTTTTCTTTCCCTCCACCCCTGTAACCAAAACCTACAAGGAACATACCCCCAACACAACCAGTGGCTTGCTGATGATCCTCAGGGTCTTTTCGGCACAACGACTTAGAGTTTGACCGAGGGAGTACCGGAGTCGGTCCGATTTCTATTTATCTTCTTGTGGCCTGTGTACTGTACCCTAGCCAAGATATCTGGTGAAGTGTCGTTGGGTGCTATAGTAGGTGCATTTGGAGACTTGGTTTTTTTTTAGGAGAGAGGTGGTTTGAGTTGGGACGTTACTGGGCGGCTGAGTTCACAGAGAAGAGAATTTTGTGCTAGCTGTCTAGATTGGATGAAGACTGGGTTCTTGCTTGCGGTAGTAATGCTGTGATATTGACAACAACCCTACGTCGGTGTTTGGACGTAGAGTCGCATCTGCACGGTTAACTACCAGAAACTTCGAACTCTCAATCTGGAAATTGGGCACATGCATGGCTGTTTTCACTTTTTCTTTTCTTTATCCTCCAGTCAAAAGGAAGCATAGGGCTCAAGTGCAGCGAAAAGCGTGGTTAAATTAACGTACGTTGTCTTTTGTCTTTCCTTTTCTCTCCAACGCCTTTTCCCACGTGTTTCATATTTGCATAGTCGATGGGTGTACTCAGATCACCAGACGAAATCAAAACAAAGCTACAGAAAAACGTACGATTCAACATGACGAAAAATCTAGATTCTTCGCTCTAGAAGATAATGGGTGGTTGTGGGACACGTCTGCCTCCCCAACATTTCCTACCGTAACCTCAATCACACAGCATGCACACTCCAGATTCCAACATACCAGTGAGCCCCTGTTCCTTGTCATTGGCTGATATGATAACTACTTCTCTCCGTTTTCACACACACGCATATATCTCTTGACGTGATTCATATGTCCCGCATCTGCACAAATACTAACTCATTTTTGCTTGCAAGCCATGGCGGTAAATGGCAACACGCGTCGTGTCCAGGGCATGCATTTGTATGCATGCTAACACGCACAACTCGTGATTTTTGTGGAGTGTGACGATCCAGCTGGGGCTTTTGGCAGTCATGGCGCCAGCCGAACCGGATAGAAAAACAAAATAAAAAACTACATTCTCCTCGGCTCTTTTCTTTTCGATTCCAGAAGCGGATCTTGTAAAGACGCTTTGTCTGGCCGATCTGGAGGCGTTCTCTTTCGTCTCAGGGTTTGGGGGCGAGATCACCGCGTCCACTATAGCCATGATCCTTGAAGACAGTTGCGCGTCTGCGCCGATAACCATGCATGGCTTGTCTTTTTGCTTTTTCCTTTGATCCTGTATGACAGAGGTGATGCCATATGACATGTTTCTCATATAGAATATGCGCAGCGATTCATGTTGCAACGATGTCTTTCTTCCACCAAGGCATACAGTACGTCACGAGTCCCATTTTTCTCCTCACTCATTCGGAAACTGGGCAATGACTCTTTCTCGTGGCGAGGATATTAGCAATGCGGGGAGAGGCGTGGAAGTGTCTGGCCCCACGTAATCTGGCACCGATTGAGGTCCCGTATTCAGCCTATTTGGTGGCAGATCGATCCAAGAGACCCGAGGAGCTGGTCGTTCGGATGCAATCCGCATGAGTTAATGTGGGTACAACATGGGGACAAACCCATTTTCGATACGCGAACAAGCGCTTGTGTACCGAGTGTATTGTGGGCGTCTGCGCTAACATAGCGAGCATGTACAGGGGTGGCTGCATTGACGGGAGCCACTAGTAATTCGCTCAGAGTGCCGCATAGAGAACATGCTAATGTAATCCTAATATGGCCTCGAGCCAGTCAGAGACTTAAAACTGCAGATATGTTTTCTTATTCATGGCTGTTAAGACTCCACTCGATGTTGGAATTTGTGACACATTCTGCAAAAAGTCTTGTTTACCACGGGTTGAACACGTAGCCGAGCGATCCATCGTGTCTCGAAGCCCCTGTATCTCCCCGGCTCGGAGATTGCCTTGTTACACGCAACATGGCTTGAATTAGAGAGTTTGTGTAGTTTGGTATCTTGCATAACTCGATTACTCATTACGCATATTCATACTCGAGGTTTGGTCACCCGCATTACGTATTTCTTCTGCTAGATGTGAAAGGGATGTTACAGCAACCCGATGAGATACGCCACATTATTGGCCATGGGCCTCGGAAAGTCTTCCAGTGGCCTCCAGACATTTGCATCAATCTCAGAAAAAAACAATTAGAACGCCATGGGCCATGTTGGCATCTCATCACCGACTCTTATTCTGGAGGTGTCGCCTGCCAAATGGTATCAGCAGACTCTATGAAATGCAACGGTATGATATCATTCCCCGTTTCAACAACAGGCAATTACGGCTGCATATGGTTAGATTATCGTTCCTGAATGTTGTGTGGTTGGACTCACCCTGTACGACCCGTTCACAACCATGGGCTCGGTCTGCCCCACGACGGTGGCGTCAGTGTCCATGCGCACGTGTAGTGTCATTCCCATGTGCACTGTACCGTTCAAAGTGTTTGCCGCGTTTTGCGCCTCCTCCTTCGAGGCGAACTTGGCAGTGGCGGCGCCTTTGAAAGCCCCCGTCCTGCTGTCTCGGATGATCTGAATGTCAATTGCATAACCTACAGTCTGTAACAGCAGAGCATTGAGGTCATCCACAGTGCACTTGTAGCTCAAATTTCGAATGAAGATACCTCGAGCTTCTGTGAGTATGGCCCCCCCTCGGATGTTAACGGGGATTCCGTTGGTGTTGGTCGAGTACACCGGTGGGTTTGACGGAGGGTAGACTGGGTAAGTTGGAACATGGGCGTATCCTGGTCGCTGCTGTGGGTAGGCTTGCATCTGTGGGTATGCCGAATACATGTAACCGGGCTGTGCTGACATGAACGGGGCCGACGCTTCAACAGGTGCCGCTCTGCCGACCCCCAACTGGCTCACTCTTGCAATGTCAATGCCGCAACGCCCAGTGGAGTGACCACCTTCTGGGATTTCAGGAAATGCTGTAGAACAGTTACACTGCATCAACCGGTAACCGTCACCCCTACGGCTGGTTTCCCAGACATGCACAAGCATGCCTTTGGCTCTGTGATATACCTCTGCAATCAAATCAGTCATGCCTCACCGTTATTTGGGACCAAGTATACATACTGAACACTGCATCTGCATCTTCCCTGTCTTTTAGTCGACACCATCCTTGCATCTCTCCTCTTCTATGACCCTGGCTCGAGCACACATCAGCCCACCCTGGTTGCTCCTTGACCACTTTACGAAGATGATCTTTGAATTCCTGCCATCCAGCTAGGTATGGTGCGTAGCGCGTGGTTCCAGATACCACGAGCAAATAATCTCCATCTCCCTCTTTCCATGAGCCTGGGTACGACATGCCGGTAAGAAGCAAGTAGCTGAAGTTAAAGAGTTTGCAAAATGAACAATTATGTAGCTTCAGGGTACGAGTGAGACAAGATAGCCTTTTCAGGTATACCCTATGATGATTAGGAGTATATGAACAGAAAATGAAGTTTGTCGTCGGGAGATAGAATCGTACAAGATGACTCCTGGGACGTGTGGTAGTACCGGCGCTGTTCTTATGCCTTCTCTTCCGCGGACCCATCAAGGCCATAGTTCTACCGGTGCATACTATGCCCTATCAATGGCTGGAAGTTTTCATTCTGTCGTCGTCCAGGCTCACTTGGCTGGCATGGGCGGTGGCGTCAAGGGGGCGTCGAAAAGTGAGGCCATAGGGTCCACCCGTTTCCCCGAGATCTTTGCTAGGGCCGCACCCGAGCGGGTGGCCGAGATTCTGCAGGACCGTGAAGCATAATTGGATGCGCCACAAAAGAGATACCTCATGGTTGTTGTCGAATCATTCTTGAACCTCCGTCAGCTCTTTCAAACACACTGCAGCACCCACGACGATCTCACCGCTCTTCAGATTGGACGTCTTCAGCAGACCGCATTTTCAGCTTCAGCTGTGCATTGTATGTTGGGTAGCGTGGCTTTACGCACATAACCGGGCAAAAGCAATTCGTGTTGGTCTTAGCTTACAGGTCAAGACAGGTTAATTGGAAGTATGGACTATACGGTGATTCTCTGAAATAGATACATATAGTATGTTTGGCTCAGAATTAGTGCAGTGGTTAAACAAGGAGAGATTGAAAGGGCTCTAAAACTACTTCCTTGAGTTAGAGCTTGTGGTGCCTAAGCTAGAGCGTGACAGATATTTCCCTACTTCAGTTATTTCATTACAAAAGAATGGCTTAACTAATGTAGAAGTTGTACTTACCACACAAGGCAAGACTGATGCGGAAACTAAGGAAATCATGGACAAGGTTAGAGAAGAGAATCAATCAGCCACCGATCAGATCAAGGATTAACCTTTAACTCAAGTATCTTTTTCCTCCGCCGCTTCCTTCTCAGCTTTCTTCTTCTCCGCGTCTCTTCTGTCCTCCACCTCTCACTTCTCCGTCGTCACAGAAGCTACCGAATAAACAACGTAGCTTAAGGCATTCACTAAATATTACTTACAAAATAGGAAAATTTAATAGCTTAGCTAGCGGTGCTAAAAAGAGGGTATAGCTTGAGCTCTACTTGCAACCATGATCTGCGGGGTAGTAGAATTTTAGTATTGAATTTGCTTCTTCAAGCACGGTAACTTCAATTAAAAGTTGTGAGAGCCGCCGGTGTTGACGTTCTAGTAATTATAGTCAATGATGTTGCGACGTTTATGAACGGCATGCACATTCTAGCCTACACAATCAACAAAGTTCGCGGCCGACTCCTCCTCGCTCTGTACCGAGGCTTCACTTGGGGAAAATGCAGACTCGTTTTGTTTTAACAGCTGTAATCAATTCGGATACCGGGTGTCTCAGTTCTGATGCAGAAGGCCGCTTCTTAACAGTCAGGCATTGACTCATCATAACGAAGCCGGCCCAGAAATCGACAAATGCAGACAGCCGAGAATTTGGTCAACTCAATGAGATCTCCAAACAATGAGCTTCTGATCGAACCCACCGCTTATCAGGTACTCATCCTTTTTGTCATTATTTATGATATGACCAGACCAGAGGCAACGGAGTTTGGAACCAGGGTCGTGTGCCTCCAGAGACGAAATCAGTTTCCCGCTCTTTGCCTCGATACCGCGTACGACCCCATCATCAGAGCTTACATACACGCCTGAACCGTCCGGACGCCAAACCAAGCGTGGCGTTGAGTAGGATGTTTGTGGCGCCAGAGTGGATACGTTGACTAAGATAGCGGCTTCCTCCTTATCCGCAACAGCCAGTTCAGCCCGAGCTTGCGACGCTTGTGTGGCGGCTCCATCTGAGTGTGTGTTAACACCCGCAGCGGGTCCAGAGAAGCGTGTGGGGGGGAGCAGAAGCTTTACTATTAGCAACTTCATGTGTGGCGTGCTGCACGCGTAATAAATTACACATTAGCAGTTGTACCGTATCACATGCATCTCAAGCGCATAGACTCACCTTGATGTTGCGACAGCGACCATGTGTGGATTTGTAGGACACATCTGTATATCAGAGGGAGTAAACGCCACCCAAGCGTTTGAGTGAGGAGCAAGGTTTTGCTTCCCTAGAAGGGTGAAATTTGGTGAATCTGAGCTGGGAACGGAGTAATAGTGCAGGAATGTAGAGTCTCTTCTAGCAACTATGAGGGCAGGCGTGCCATCTCCAGGCAATTTGACAAACATGGTTGATTCTGGTATACTGGGTAATGTTAAAGTTGCTATTGGGTCCCCGAGCCTTGGCTTTTCGGCGCTGATATCGAGCTTGTATAGGAACACCTTAGCATCCCAACCTGCGCTTGCGACGAAGATGGAAGTCCCGTCTACTGAAAAAGTAGATATCTTGACGAGATATTTATTGTGGTCTTTGCGCTCTTCTATCACAGTGCTGCCGGCCGTATTGAATAGATTTAGCTTGCCTGACATTGAGGCGATCAAGATATGTTGAGTATCTACAGGGACGACATCCAAAGTCGGTGAATCTTGGAAACCGGAAAATGTGTGAGCAAGCTCAAAATCTTGAGTTTGCGGATCCATCAAGTGTAAGTGACGGTCAGCAGTAGTGACCGCAATGTACTGCCGAACGTCTGTTGCAGATGGTAGAAGAAGATCCAAGACCGCAATGCTAAGTATATTCGACCGATTTGGGAGAGTTCCAACGACCTTGGGATCGGCAGGTGCTTGGATAGTCCATTCTTGCTCGGTGTCATCAATACCAAGCTTTTCAAAGTTGAGGCTCAAATCGAAATTTTTCTTCTCCTGCAAGACAGACTCAATCGTGACTAGGTCATTGGGGGCTGCTCCAATGTCAGGAGGCAGTTCGGCTTCCTGCACGAAGCTGCTCAATGTCTAATCTGGTGTTAGTGGGTGTATACTAGCTCAAAGATGAGGTGACGTCACCTGGTTGTATCCATTAACTCTTAGAAATCGCGCCACTAACTCGGCTGCAGATGGAAGCATGGTGTTTAATTGGAGGGGTGGCTTTTTCAACACTCTGTGAACTGGCTGACTTGAAATAGACATGTCCCGCGTAGGGGATGCATGGCGGTTCTGGTGGGGTGAGACTGGATGGAGCTAGCGTCTTTATCGATAAGTAATGATGGTCCCACAATGTACCCAAAGAAGATTTTGTAGAAGAAAAAGCGTCACAGCAAAAACACGGCGACTCGCCATTCAATACTTGTTGGAAATGGAGGCAAGTTGCAATTTGCCGGGTTTTGTTGCCATCCCTGACCATGGCAGGACATGATCATCCTGCGTCGACAATTGACAGAGAAATTGGTCGCACTGCAGCACGCTACACCTGAGCAGCCTTACAGCATTGCGCATCGTCTGAACCTAGCCAGAGCCTACAAGGATCTTGGCTATCCAGATCTTGCCGCAGGAGATGCCTACAAAGCACTGATATTAGTGGATGAGCTGGTTGAAGAGGGCGAATACCATGATGAAGCCCTAGAGGCTGCACGCACAGATTTTAATTTAGAAAAAATGGCCGACTTATCCATAAGTGCCGAAAAAGAAACCGTTGCTTCGGAGTACGAAGACATCACGAATTATGCGCAAATACAGTGGTCAAGAACAGCGTATGTGAGCTATTTTGAATTTATTGAAAAATCCATTAAAAGCTGATTTGTCAAGGCATGACATCCTTATCGAAAGCCTCTTAGACTGTGGATGCTTGCGCAGTGCGTTCGACTACATTGCTCGCGCAATGAAAGCATTCCCCGATGATACTGCCTTCGAAACACACGATGAATCTTTGTCAAAACATCTGAAATCCTACTGTGAGCAGAACGGAGAAAGTTTTGAGGACATCGAGGTCGATGATTATCCCGACAAAGGACTTGTTCGCCGAGAAAAATATGCCTGGAATGATCACGAGCCAGATCGGTTTTCAGCAGAATGTTTGGACTTTCTCAACCAAGAACTCACAGACATAGCACCGAAACTGGAGGTGAGGGTTTCTGAGTTGCCTCTTCTCGCCACTACCTCATCTGCGGACGGAAAGTCTCCAGAACCACAGTATACCAAGCAACTGGGGTTGTTTGCCAAGGAGGATATAGCCCCTGGAGAAACCATACTAGAAGAGAAGTCGCTTCTCACTGGCATATCGAGACTACACGAGTCATACTGCGATGCTTGCAGCATACCTCTCTCGCAATCCGTGGACACAGCCAGCGAAAACATAACATGTGAAGAATGCAACGAGGTCTTCTTCTGCAGCGAAGAATGCCATGACCTCGCCCAAGATCACTACCACCCTTCGATATGTGGAGTAAGCGTCGACCAAAGCAAGGTGTCTGCTCGTGAAGCAGCCGATCATCTCTATAGCCTTCTGCTCGTTCGCGCGCTGGCATTGGCAGAGACCCAGGAACTCCACCCTCTAGAGCTTAAAGAGGTCCGCTATATTTGGGGTGACTATCATGGCAAGGATCTCGATACTGCCTGGCAAACCGATTCAGCAGGTCATCTGGCTGATCCTTTTGCAAACATGCCAAAAACATTGCCCTTTTCCTTCAAGAGTAATGTACTAATGCCAATTCACGTTCTGGAGCAGATGGATGTGAACATCTTTACCCAAAGCGATCGCTACGACACCTGGATTTTCAACACACTGTATGCCAAATTCCGAGGGACAGCTTCCGCACAGCAGGGAATGGATGGGAGACCTGAGATTAGCGCTGTTCACCCCATGTGGTGTCTTGCAAATCACAGCTGTGATCCAAATGTGGCGTGGGAGTGGCGTGGGTCTATGCGGTTCTGGACACGTAAGGAGCTCGTAGACTGGAAGGGCAGAGACCCGATCAAGGCACCTGGGCTGAAGAAAGACGAAGAGGTGTTTGGTCACTACTGCGATGTACGGCTTCCGGTCAAGGAAAGGCGGGAATGGGCTGTCGGAGCGCTGGGAGGCGATTGCATGTGCACCAGATGCATCTGGGAAGATGCGGCCGAACGCAAGTAGGACAACTCGCAACAGGTGGCTTTATCAACAATCGTGGTATTGGAAAATTCGCTAATGTAGCGCCATCGTTCTGCGGGTATCGGATTCGTTCATGACTTCTATGAATAGCGCACTTGAACTATATCGGTTGAATCGGACATGTCAGACACACCAAACGGCAGAAAACGAAGTTGATGCAGGATGTGTAGAGGGTGATCAAGGTGTGGCATTCAAGATGGTTTAGATGAGATCAACCCAATCCCAACAAGCGTACTGCGCCTCCATGAACCTTAAACGACATTGTGCATGTGGTAGTAGCGCACGTCAGACCGCTGCATGATTCTGATCAAGCGTGCCACCAGATCTCCACACTTGACGCGGATTAGGGCCCCTGCATCATGTCCAGTTTGTGTAAAGTAAGACATTATTTCGCTTGCCCTCATGGGATCAGGGTGCACTCAGCATCCACACGCGTTTGGTGTACTCTTTGGGCTAGTAGTGAACGCCATCACCTTTGCATTGCATATACGTATCCGGCATACGCTTCGTGCCGTTGCCTCAATATTCGTTCTGCCGACTGCCGCTTGTACTGCATTCATCCTCCACATCGTCATCTCCCACCGATCGCAGAGCGCCATAGCTTCAAGCGCCATCATCGGCTGAGGTTTCGTAACGCGCGCCGGTGCCCGTATATGTAGTGACCAACTCCTTTCTAGCCCACATCCCGGTCCCGGGTACTGTACGCATCTGATCGGTGGACTTCCCGACGCTAGAAATTGTTTTTTCCAACCTCACTTTCACCCGAAAACCCTTCGCATGCCTTTGTGTGCGACGTGCGTCCGAACTTGTCATGACGTTCAAGCTGACTTTGCAGCTGCTCCGAACCCGACCTCGATCTTGATGTTAGATTGATTTTTTGCCGATTCTTACCGTGTGTTCGCACCAGAGTTCATCGTATCTGGCGTTGCCAACGGAGTATTACTGATTTCATTTGACTGCCCCGGCTACTCGGATCTCGAGTGCGCTCGTCTATTAGCTGTGGCAACGGAGGCGTTGGTCGGTAAGAGCTGGTGGTAACGGATGACGCCGGTGGGCCATTCAACTCCCACTACATGGACAGAGCCGCGTGAATGCACAATATTCTCAGTGCCACATAAGCCACTTTGAGGGATTCGCTAGAAGCACGAAGTCCCATTTCAATGACCCTGCAACTTTTATTGATTTTTAAGTCTGCCACACAGACGGTGAGCCTTCTTCCCGATAACCAGGTCAGCATTTCCAAATATGGCAATAGGCGCTCTGGCTGTACTACTACGTTTTGACGTATTGGAGAAAGAGAAAAGCCCCATTGTTTGATCTACAGAGTTTATAATGCATGTAAGACATGTCAAGTGCGGATACGGGAAGGCCGATCGATCCACAAAGATGTGTGCACTGCACGAATCATGCATGGCGTGGCGGATCCAGACTACCCAACCGCTTCCCAAGATGTGGGGAAGGGGGTTCGATGATGATTCTGTGCTTTTATTCGCCTCCTCGAAGCTCATATCTGGTACAAAGATCGACAATCTAGTATTCGTATATTTCTGAATGCTAACACTGTTAGTCTAGACGACATCCGGTGATACCACAAGCAAAACAACTGGCTTCCACGGGAAGGAAATGTAACATCACATGTAAAATAAGTATTGTAACAGCCCCATTGGCGGAGATCCTAGTGTTCTTTAGGTGGCTGGATTCTAAGTGTCCAAAAATTGAGGTTCCTGAGTCCTTAGGACGCCAATCAGCACATGTAGGGGGAACTTCTTGGAGCTAATTAGATCGTGTTTCTGCGTGCACGAAACCCTATTTAGGATTGATTATAATATGTACCTAAAGCTGCAACTATATTGACAAAGAGTTTTGGATGAAGAGTGCAAGCAAGGGCTTACATGACGCATATGGAAGCCCCAACAAAATGCATGACGGATATACGCGCCCCTACATACATAGTACAGCAACAAGGCGGGTGCCGCCCCCCCCCCCTTACCAAATAGAGAAGCCAGGTAACGTCAAGCTACGCCACAGAATTCAGATATACGACAGCAAACCAACCCTCCAATGAACGATTCAGATCTATCCGCTTCACTCTTGTGCCTTGGTCCTCACCAACCAACTCTAGTAACATCCACGATTGGACACCGTGCTGTTTCCCAACGCCTCCAACTCAGTATCAAGCCTCACAAGCAAGATTGCGTCATCTACAATCGTATCTTATGTAACTATCCAGTATACCAGATCCCGTCCATCACACCCCAGCAAATGGAGAACGCCAAACAAGCCACGTACCCTCCTGAAACAACCCCCATAAACCTGGCAGGCAATCAGAAAGCCACTCATACACACACACACACATCAGTACCAACCAACATACCTTACAATACCATACCATAACACAGCCATGTCACGCCCAACGCACATGTATGCAACCATCCCACTCTCTTTCTGCATACACACTTACCTATCTACTTAACCTACCCACTCTCCCTTCTACTCGGTGCCACCCCACTCTTAGCCAGGCAGTGTCTCGGCGGCTGTATAGATACTCGCAGATCCGCGGAGAAAGGCAGGGCGAGATGGCGATAAGTGCATGGATGTGTGTACAGGTCTTACGGATGGAAAGGGGGGGCGGGGGATAAGGGAGACGAAGGCAATATGTGGCGTAGGAAGATGTAGTAGTCTTACTGCTTTCGATAAAAAAAAGGCAGAGAGGGGGAGAGATGATATGAAAAAAGTTCGTTGTCGTCTTTGATAAAGTGAAAAAAAAACTTCATGGCGATAGAAAAAAAGCACTGGGTACGCTGTGCAGTAGGTACAGGCAGATCAAATGGAGAAAAAAAATTAGTAAACGACTCGATCATTGGGGCCACTGAGTAATCGTATAACGGCCAAAAAAAACCATCGTCCGGTCAACGTTTTACATGACACGCCCCATTTATTCGTTGAATCTACACAACTACTCTATCCAACTACTCTATACCCCTCAAAAAACATATAAGACAAGGTATAGAGCATGTCTTCATTGCCTTCAGAAAAAAACAGTAACCCCCAGCCCCTTAACCAACATACATAAAAGAAAAACCAGGAGTTATCCCATCAATCGTCTTACATATTCACATAACAACCCACCTTTACTCCCTCCCACTAACCCATCGCCACCACGCTGTAGGCACCAACCCCGTCTCCGCCCCACAAGCCCTCGAAACAGCTACAAGAACAGCACCAAGAACACTAACACCCCCAAGGATCTTGACGAGCGCATAGCTCCTTCTCTTAAGTTCGTCGCTGAGATTGCACAAGCCGAGGGGATCGCGGGAATCAAGTCCAACCATAGCTCTAGCATAGCGATTCCCAATACCGCGCATATTCTTCTCATCACCGTGTCTAACCATTGCCCATTCGGCTCTGGGCGCCGCACCAGGAGATGCTGCGACCAGTGAGCCTTTGGCAGCTTCCTCGTTGACACATTCAAGCATCCATCTAGCGCGTTCTTTGCTTTGGAGTTCGTCGAAGCGGTCACGTTCGTTGCGGCGGCTGCGCTGGAGATCTGTGGCCCATCTTGCGATTCGGATTTCACTGAAGCGTTGGTCGCCTTGCACAGAGTGGCCGTATCGCGCTAGGGAGAAGTTGGCTGGGGGCTCGAGGGCTTCCGAATTGGCGAGGGATGTGGACGAGGCGAGGATTGGGGATTGGAGGTTTGAAGGGTAGAAGGGCGATCCTGAGCCGGGTACTAGGACGCCTGATGGTGAGGTGGCAGAGAAGACGGAAGATGCTAGAGATACTGGTTCAGAGGTTAGCTTCATCATGAATATGGTATTGCTTATTGCTTACGATTAGAAGTAGCTCCGTTGATTCCTATCGATGCTGTTGTTGGACTGCGTGGTTGAGCGATGCTTCGCACCATGGTCGACTCTACAGGAAGCTTTACTCTATGCCGCCATGCCACGAATTTCTTTGCTGCGGAATGCCTGAGCCAAGTGATAGACTCGGGATCGAATACTTGGTTCACTAACGCTGTCAACTCGGAAGGCACAAGAGGTTGCACATAGTCTGGCGACATAAGCAGCGATGCATCCATGTTGTCATGGTCCGGGCCAAGAGTAGAGGATACTGCGTATGGATAGGTGGGTGTAACAAAGGGGTACTGGTTTCCTTCGCTTGAAACACTAGGTACTGGAGGCTTTGGTAGAGAGAGGCCCTGCACATTAAGTAACGCATCGTCGATGGTTTCTCCAAAGAAAAAGGGTCTAAAGGCGGTCGTTTGTAACTGAGCGAGGATGGAGGTCTTTAATGCTACAACCTCGTGCGCAGAAAGGGTATCCGATTTCGCTACAATTGGGATGACGTTGGTGAGGTATGACAAACGCTGCATATACTCAATGTCCTTGCTGATGTCTTTGCCTGTCAAATGTCAGAAATAAATTATAGAAGAAGCAACGACTTTGCTTACCAGGCGATAGTAGGTATATTACAAGGTCGACAAGGAGTCCACCATTACCACTGACAAGTCCGAGTGCATCGCTATCTTCTAGTGATACGACTGAAGAAGTCTGGTAAAGGAGAGATTCCACGTAATTGACGATGGTACCTATGCCATCTGCTTCTGGTGAGTATCCGGGGGTATCAACAAAACAAATGTTCCTCTCCAAGACACTATCGCTACTACCCTTTCTCTTCTTCGGTGCACGATAGTCATCCAAATCAGTCCACCAATGCGGGTAGGGTTTTGTGCTCGCATGAATCTCTGTCACTCGTGTGGTGCTTGCTTGTGCTGGTTTCCCTGCACGAGATTTGGACCTGGATGCACGTGGCCGCGAGGTTGACTGGGGGGTTGGTAGAGGATCTACGTGTACGATGTCTTCGCATGCCTGCACGATGGATCGAATGAGAGACGACTTGCCGACTCCTGTGTCATACCGTCAGTATTCGATGCGCTGCACAACAACGCGTACTGTAGACGCCGAGTATTACGCACCTGTTTCACCTACAACCATCACCTTTAGCTTACTCATAGCCTTGCCTTTTGTCGTAAAAGGTCGTCTCGTCGGCATTTGCATTACAGGCATGACAAGCTGTGGAAAAGATAGGCTATGCTGTTGTATCTCGATATGGTCATCCTCGCCCGCGCTCGACATGGCAGCTTGACTAACATCTTCATCCATGGTGGAATCCTCGTCGGACAGTTTGAGCGATGTTATCGAAGCAGATGTCGGTGTACTAGGCATGGCAGAAGTAGGGTAGGAGGAGGACACGTCTGCGCCAGGCAGCTTCAAGGGTGTATAGGAACCGTGGTTGGAATGATTCCTCTTCAATTTCCAAGTCTTGTTTGCTCTGGCGTCGTCGGGCAACGTTGCTGAATCAACCGACGAGCCATGCGATACCGGCCTTGAGCTCTTTGCGCCATGGCCCTTTGTTCTCTCTGCCTTGAGCGAGTCGGTGCGCTTTGGCGCATCCTCGGGACCAAATGCAGCTTCGAGTGTATCTGCGAGACTTTGCACTCCGTACGTGCCGTGATCCTCGTGTCTTCCAGAAGAGGTTGCAACATGAAGCGGAGCTGCGGTCTGCTCTAGGTCCTCAAATCGCTTGAAGACGAAGGAAGTGGGTACATGGGATACAGGGGCAACCGGGTCGATGCTCGACTTGCGAGAGCGCGGCTTAACAGCAGGAGTGAGGGCGTCGCCGCCCGGTATCGGTCGCATATCGGCAAGATGTTTGGGACATATGGCACCAAATGCAGCTGTCGAGATGTCTGGCCGCAGGAGGTTTGGTACTAAGCCTCGTTCAAGTACCGAAGTGGTGGTGATGGCAATGGGATGGATGCACGCGACGGCCCCCGCCTTCGCCCCGCTGCGAGCTACTGCACTGCTAGTCTTGTGTGGAACGCGTCAATGCGCCTTAGCCGTCGTGCCGACAGCAGACAGCAAAGGGGGCGAGTTAATGCTTGACAAGTCCTAGGAAGAGGACAGAAGGTTGGAGGTACAGTCAATGCTACCCGTAGTCGTGGAGCTATTGGGCTGCTGCCGATCCAAAGTAGCCTGTCTCATCCTCGAATCAGCGATCAGCGCACCTACATGAGGGCTGCATGATACATTATCAGCTGACGTTATCGCGACGCTGCCGAGATCCCATGATACCACTATAGCTTCAAGAAGATGCCTTGATGGATATGTAATATGGCACGTATTGCATTCGTACTAGAGCGTCTTTAGGACTGCTTTTCCCATCCCCACTTCATCATGGCCCTGTACATGTCATGCTGTACACGCCTGTCTGATCTTGCACCCGAATCCATTACACCAGATGCTACGACAGTCCCCAAGCCCGTACCTCTCTCTAACCGTCACGTCGCCCACCCTATACGTTAGGCAACCAGAAATGCGCGCAAACAAGAAAAGGGAAACAAAGGGCTGGACGAATACTTATGAGTACACAAGGAAACCATGCTGAAATGAAACCGCTCGCTATGCAAGGGCTCAAAACCCCCCCAGGGACGAACGCGTGCGCCCAGACTTTTCCTCGAAATGAAATGACTTTTATACAAAGCGCTGAAAAAAAGGGTCGAGTACAGTACAGAGCTGAAGCCGTCAGTCGTTAGGCCATCGAGTCGAACGAGTTCAACAGGGAACGAACGAAGAATGTGGGAGACAGAGAGAAAGAGAGGGAAAGAGAGAATTAGCCGACCAAAGTCGACCTTTAGGACTCCTGAGCCGCACCGCCGCGGCCGCGCATAGAACCACCTCGGCCACGAGGCTGGAAGTTTCCACGGGGCGCCTGGCCGCCCATACCGCCACGGCCACGAGAAGCACCGCCACGAGCAAATCCTCCACGGTTGAATTGCCCGGGGTTCTGACGGCGTTCCTCGACCTTCATCTCGATGCCATTGACCGTGTGAGGGTTAGCAGCGACAGCGGCCTGGAATCCGGCGGGTGTCTTGAAGTCAACAAAGGCGCAGTTCTAAACCCACGTTAGTTCTGTAGCTTTTCCATGTGTACATGCAGCTCTTCACTTACCTTGCCACGGCTAATGTCAAGATACTCAATCTCGCCAAACTTGGTGAGAGCGGCCCTCAAAGCACCCTCCTCGACTTGGCTGTAGACGTTCTTAATGTAAGCACGCTTCTGGTCGGGATCGGCAGCGGGACCGGTATTCTGTGCGCGGGATTGCTCCTTCTTGTGTCCAGTAGCTGTTTGCCATCCGGCAGCTTCACCCTGGCTTGTGGCGGGGGATTGCTCACGGGCGGGTGCGGCGGGCTGACTGGGCGTAGCGGCTGTAGGTTGAGCAGGGGCAGGAGCGGCAGCAGCAGCCTTGGGCTGCGAAGCGGCTTGCTGGGAGGTGGGGGTGTTCACAACAGGAGTAGCAACCTTGTGTGCAGAGGCGGCGAGGCTAGCCCAAGTGCGGGGAGCAGCAGGCTTTGGTGGGCCAGAAGGCATCGCGACGGTATTGGCCTTCTGTGCGGGTGGGGCTGGTGTGGCAGGCTTCTGGGGCTCAGTGGTCTCCTCAGCGGGAGCTTGGGGTTCCTCGGTAGCCTTCTCCTCAGCAGCGGCTGGTGCCTCTTCCACAGCGGGTTGTTCAACCTCCTCTGGTACCTGCTGGGCCGGAGCTGGGGGCGCAACTTCCTCCACAGCAGGCTCCTCCTTTGCAACCTCCTGTAGTTTGTCATCCACCTTGTTCAAGGCCTCCTCGCTGGTTGCAACCTCGTCACTCTTGAGTTCAGCATTCTCGGGGACGGCGGCGGTAGGAGCTGGTTCGGTGACACCGTTAGCGGGCGCAACTTGCTCTTGCTGCTCTTCCTCCTCTTCAGGATCCTCTGCGAGATAACGGAAGATGTCGTTGAGAACAAAGTAGCCATTGGTCTGCTCGGCAAGGACAAAGGTTTGGACGAAGCGCTTGTGGGGCTGGCCTTGGTTGGAGATTTCACCAATTACTTGTATCACGATGTTGGCATCAGAGCCCTGCGAATCGACATTGGTAACGCGGACCTTTGTGTCCTTGAAGTCTAGCTCCTTGATGCGCTCGTTGATCGCCTGTGCTCACGTTAGTTTGATATGGATACTGGACGAGTGCTTACATACCTTCTGGCCCAAGCACACATTGACCTTCTCTTCCTCAACGCCCGAAACGTACTGCGAGCGCTTGTTGTAGAAAAGCTAGAGTTTGGGTCAGCGACATGTTTTGATGAGGGGCTGATTGGCATGTGCGACTTACGTAAAGTCGGTCGGGGCTCTTGCTCAAGGTGGTGTAGTACTGCTCGACAAAGTACCACCCAACCTCGTCCTTTGGGATTTCAGAGGCGGTTGCTTGTTGTGCGGGCTGGCTGGCGGTTGGTTGCTGCGAGGGTGTGAAGTTGGAGGCGCCGGTGGAATAGCTGTTCTCGTATCCCTGTGGCGCATAGTTGCCATTGACAGGGCCAGATGATTCGGTGGATGCCATTTTTGGGTATGGAGGGGGAGGAGTAGAGGGCGTGTGGACCGAGGGCTGCGACGGCTTGTTAAATGGTTTGCGCGAAGAGGAGCGGGGATTCGGAAGGCAAAATGGAAAGCTGGCGAACGTTGTCTGTGCGTCCGCCGCCCAATCAAGCGAACCCGTCCAACACATCGTCTACACTACCCACACACATCACCGCTACGTCTCTACCCTCAATATGGGACAAGGTCAAGGATCAAGGGAGGAAGGAAGACTTCGCGACTGGAATCAGGGGCCTCTTTAAGAGGCTTGTAATGAGCAATGCCTTCCTGTCTGATATGTCTAGTATACATGTAAAGTAGTCCAGGGCTATGACTACGTGTTGAAGAAGCAGAAAACAGGATAAGAGATGAATGGTAGAATGAAACCCTCGTATGCATGCCCGCCCTGACATCCTATGGCAAACTGCCCGGTGGCAGCCTGCTCACTTCGTACCCGGATCTTGGTCCTTCACCTCACCAGCCTCTTACTCGGTCTTCTTTGCCCGCTCAGTATCGCGCTTCTGGGACTCTTCGATGAGTGTTAAAAGTTCCCTGGAGCGCTCGTCCAAATGCTCGAGAAGCTGACGTTCATTCTCGGCGCGCTGCTCCTCGCGTGCCAATTTCTTGGCGGCGCATTCCTCACATTGAGAAAACTCCTTAATGTCGGCCTCATGCTGCTTAACCTGCTTGTCATGCTTCATCAAACGGATCGCCCGGCTGAACTCCCCTTGCGACTGCCGAAAGTCCTCCGCGATCTTTGTGGAGAATAGAGCAATAAAGAACACTCCAAGGAATGACATCCACCCGATGAACATGTAAAGCTTGACCGAATTCCAGAACTTGATATCCTCAGGGCTATATCGAACAAGTGGGTCTGGGATGTGTGTTGATCGAACACCTTGACTGACCATGTTACGAAGCATGTTGGTCACTTCGGTGTAATTGCGGAACATGTTAGTCACTTCGACGTGGTTGTCGACGATGGTTGTGTTGATGACTCGCAACAAGTCGAGGATCACATCAGCTGCTTCTGGATCGTAGGCCATGAAGGCATAATTGGCAGCCATGGTGGTATGTGTCTGGATTACAGCCTACGTTAGTGAGAGTAGTACTTGAAGGAGGAGTGCTGGGGCTATAGCACCTTTGTGGGATCTGAGATGAACGCTTGTTGGTTTGGTGAGTTTATTGGTGGGGTTGAGTTGTGGTGAGACGGAGGAGGATGGTTTGTGGCAGGTTGGGGGGTTCGTTCGTATAGCTGTGTATCGGTATGGAGTTGATTGGAAGATTGGGAGTCATGTGTGCCTGGGGGTAGGCAAAAGTGGTAGGTTCGTCCAAGATGGCAGCAACAGTGGGGGCTGCTGAACAGGCTATGTCATGGGAGCCAGCATCACATCATTGGAAACGTCCATATTGTTCTGGTCATTGCAAAGAATCGGAATCTGAGGAACAGAATTGCATCATTGTCAATGTTGAAGATCCTCGGGTTCAGTGATAGCGTGGTCATGGGTTGGGCTGGCGACATGGAGCAATAGGCTATGATGATAGCTCCGTATCAATGTTCAATGCCAACTAAGTACTTTGGAATGGATCTGCACAAGTATTTCTAATTCATCCCCGATGTCTCATCCTCTTCGCTCTATGCATAGTATATACTGCAAACTCGTCCCATCTCCCCGATGACGGAGGGAAAAACCATGCTGCGGGACACGTTTGTCAAAGACTCAATCCCTACGCTGCAAAATCAACCCTGCACGCTTAGTATGATTTGTTCTGTGCCCCTCGTCTCCATTAGTCTTACAAAAGGTACGAGTAGGCTGGTTGGTCGGGTGAGGCTAAACAAGTCGCGCTAAGTACTGGGCCCCACCATCTTTGGCTGGGGTGTGGATTGCAATGCCAGTGCTAGATCGGACTACGTACAGATCATCCACCCTTGCTCTCTTTTGCTACCATTGCTGCATCTGGGAGTGCAGCGTCGCCAGCTAACCAAGTAGCGTCTGTGCTGGCTACATGAGCCTAGATCGAGCAAAAGGTAAGAAGGCATCCCGCTCGTCCTACATACGTCAGCTTTGGTAGCGAGTGGAGCCTGTTCCGCTCTTCCGCTCACCACATGGAAGCTACATGCCGATCGTCCATGAGCCCAAAGCAAGACAGATGCACTCTCATGGTACACATGGCATGTATGCCCTCCTTTTGTGACAAAACAAGCCATCATTTCCTTACCTGAAGGTGGGCTCTCCGAGGCAATCAAACAAGCAATTCCATGTGCCCCGCACAAAAGCGACTCTTGGTCCGGAGCGATTGGTCGACTCTTGAGTTTGGCAGGATCGGACGGATGGTGGAGAAAGGCGCAGCCCAGCTTATATATACTACGCGTACATATGCAAAAGTATCCCGCCTCCGTCTTTAACCTTCTTTTCACTCAACCACTGCCTTGCACCCTTCCCATATCACCAAATATTCGTTATGGAAACACATAATGCGACAGTGGCGTCCCTTGCGGCACAGGTTGCCAAGTTCAGCGCATCCAAGACACCCTTTCGCATATATCATGGTTCCACGCTGTCGACAAGAACGTCGTCTCGTGCGCGCAATCAAATCATCGACGTCAGCTCGCTGGATCACGTGCTACAATTCGACGAGCTAGAGAAGACGGTACTTGTAGAGCCGAATGTTCCAATGGATAAGCTGGTAGAAGCTACCATGGCAAAGGGGCTCCTGCCAAAGATTGTCATGGAACTGCCGAACATTACCGTTGGTGGTGGGTGAGTGGCACGTCTGTTTTTGCACTCGAGCGGTCAAGTCCAAATTGCTCAAGATTCTTGCCCATAACACCTTTCTTATATGGAACATGATATATCTTCCAGCCATGGATACTAATGGACGTGACTAGGTTTGCTGGCACCAGTGGGGAAAGCAGTTCCTACAAATATGGGCTCTTTGACCGCACCATCTCGGGAATAGAGATGATCCTCGGGAACGGTGAGGTTGTGTGGGCATCCGCGGAGGACCATCGGGATCTATTCTTCACAGCCGCCGGGAGCTGTGGAAGCCTGGGCGTCATCACGCTACTCAAAATGGAGCTCATTCAGGCCAGCAACTACGTAGAACTGGAGTACATACCGGTCAGCAGTACAGAAGAAGCGGTAAAGCAACTTCGACTTCACCAGGATGACCATACCGTCGATTACATGGATGGCATCATGTACTCTTTGAAGAGCGGAGTGATTATGATTGGGCGCTTGACGGATGCGCCAATGGATAGGAAGATCCAGAGCTTCGACCAACCAACAGACCCTTGGCTCTACATGCACGCCGAAGACATTGTAAAACGGACCCGGGGAGATGAGACGACGTACCGGGAGCTCATACCTACACAGTCGTACTTGTTCAGATATGATCGGGGCGTCTTCTGGTCTGGACTACGGGCATTCAAGTACTTTGTCACACCGTTCAACCGCATTACTCGCTATCTATTAGATCCTTTCATGTACTCACGAACAATGATACATGCACTGCACCGGTCAGGTCTCGCATCCCGGACAATCATCCAAGACTACGGGGTACCGTATGATACAGCAGATGAGTTCATCCGATGGATTGATGAGAAGACTGGCATCTGGCCCCTTTGGCTGTGTCCTGTCAAATCGGCACCGCTAGGCGAACGTAGCTTCTCGCAGGGCAACAACATCAAGGATGACATTCTGCTGGACGTGGGCATCTGGGACGTGGGGCCAAATGATGCCCAGGCCTTCATCAAGCTGAACCGCGATTTGGAAACCAAGGTGACGGCGCTTGGGGGCATGAAGTGTCTGTACGCGCATGCATATTATACCGAGCAAGAGTTTTGGGAGATTTACGACGAGAAGAAGTACAAGGAGCTGCGCACAAAGTACCACGCCGAGAGTCTGCCGAGCGTGTACGAGAAGGTGCGTGTCGATCTGCAAGGCGTTGCTGGAGACAAGAGTACGCGCAAGAGACAGTCGTGGAGCGAATGGGCATACTGGCAATTCTGGAGCACGTGGCCGATGGCGGGGGTTTACGGAGTTGCCAGCGCGACAAAAGGGTTGTTTTTCAAAAGCGATTTCTTGCTGAAAAAGTAAGAAAGGGTACATGTATATGTACGCACATAGGTATCAGTATGTAGTGTATGGAACCTTGGAACGGATACATGGCAGGCCACGTGCGGGAGGTGATGATGGAGGGGATCCGGCGTCGTCATGCATCTCGCGAGGAAATCCCCCTGACAGGGCTGTCTGTACTGAACCCTTTAATTGCAGGCCGTGGGAAGATCAGCCGCTGATGATTGTGCGGGCGCCCTGTGGTCAGCCGTTCACGTGGTGACGTCGAGTGAGGTGGGGGTGACTGCAAGCGCCAGCCGTTCACTCGCCAAAAACCTGTATGGGAGCGGGCTTCAAAGTTTCAAGTGGTACTAGGCGTATACCAGAGGGCCCAAGGCAGCGAGTGCGTAGCCATGTGTTAGTGAAGACGCGCCCAAGAGGTCGTCGCGTCGACGTCATCCACGAAGGGCTAGCGTAGGCGCAGGACATGCATGGGCCGCATTGACGTAGCAAAAAGCCTCCACTTGCCCAACCACCCCATTTCACGCACAGTCGCACAATCCCCGGCGCCCGTTCAACCTCCTCTTACCCACACTAGATCAAAGCCGGCCCTGCCCTGCCCTTTTTGTGCCCCGCCGCTGTCCATTCCACCGCGCTCCCTCCGCCTGGGTACCCCATTTTTCATTCTATCCCGACCTTTCTTGGCCTTGCACCCGCTCACTGGTTGGACCTCGTCTTTCTGGCTGGCCTTTTTTTTCGCTTTCTTCCTTGGTAGATAGGTACGGAGCTCCAACACGCGCAAAATCACGCGTGATTGACTCTCCTGGCACAGTAGAAGCTAACAGCAGCTGTCGAATATAGTAATTGACCCCTAGACGTAACACCATGGCGCGTCTTAGCGGTCTACCATCTGAGCACCACCACGAGGGCCCTGGCGACGCTCCACGACGAAAGCGTGGCCGCCCATCCACCAAGTTCCAGACGCCCTCAGAAGACATGAGCTCCAGCGGCAAGCGGACTGCTTCGCCTTCTGCTGAGCTCTCGCAGACGAAGCGCACAAAGCGAATTGCGGTTGAAGACGACGAGGACCAGATTGCCCACGAAATTCAGCAATCATTTTCGCGGTCGCAACAGGGAGACAATATCAACGTCGAGACGCAGAGCAGCCATACCACCCGCCGCCACGCACGACGACACTCTGAGCCTCCCGTCGCCGTTGACGACCACGACGATGATGACGAGGACGAGCTCATGGCCCCGCAAGCTTCCACGCAACCACTTCCAGGCCTGACCCCCCACCTGGATCGTGTTGGCGCTGCCCGCAAGCGCTTTGTTAACATCCGCCGTTCCCGCATGTCCATGCCTGCCCAGTTGCACATTGAGCGTGTCGATGAGGTCGACGAAAACAACTCCAACCGCGTTCAATTTGCGCCCCTCACACAAGTACTCGACAGCCGTGCCAGGCGCCGGCTTCGCCGCAGCCACCTGAGTCAAGAGGTCAACAGCTTCGAAGACCACCAGAAGAAAGACAAGAAGCTCTTCCTCGAGCTCCGCCGCCAGCTGCGCGAACAAGATGAAAAAATCAAGGATCTTGAGTACCAGCTTGAGGCTCGCCGCCTCGGAGAGATTGATATTACCGATGCACACGCCGACGAGCTGCAAGTGCAGCTGGATGAGGCTCGCCAACAAATCGATGAGCTTCGGGCATCCTCATTGTACAACGGTGATGACAATGAGGAGCCTGTCAATCTTTCCGATGATGAAGAAGCGCTCGTCATGGTTGACCCTGAAGACCTTCACATGTCGCAAGACCTCGACATGGAGCCTATCCCCACTGGCAAATACGCCTCTCGTGCGCTCGAAATCTCCAGCCAAATGACTCTCGAGTCTCTGCCGACCCTTTCGCAGCTCCACCGCGACAGCTTGACTGAAGGCGATGAAGTAATGATGGACAAGATCGAAGATGAAGCCATTGAGCGCTACGAACGGGAGCTGCAACAGCTCAGCAAAGCTTTGGGCGAGTCCCAGGGTGCATTGCGCTTGATCACGATTGAGCTGCAGAACTTGAGGTTCGTCGAGGCTGGTGCCTCCTCAAGCGACATCTTGGCTGAATTGCGACACGGATTTGAAGACATACGCGCTGAGATTGAGAAGTTCTTCCCTGGTACCACATCTGGCGTCACCAACCAACAGCTTCTGCAGAAGGTTCCCCAGCTCTTCGGTGGCATCTTCTACGAGCTGAAGGAGAAAATCACACTGCTCAAGGACTCTCAAAAGACTGAGGTTCTTCTCCGACGACAGTACGAAGGTGTGCTAGACCTGCTCGGTGACTCCGAGGAGCGAGTGAAGCAGCTAGAGTCGGACGTGTTCACGCTTGACAAAGCAAACGAAGACAAGCAACGTACCATTCTTGAGCTTGAGGAGCGCAATGCTACTTTGACCAACCTGAATGACGAACAAGAGGCCCAGCTAACCAAACAGGATTCTGATATCGCTGATCTTGAGGACGAAAATGCAGCCTACAAGCAGAATATGGCAGAGCTTGAAAAAGCTCTTGAAAAGTACCATCAAGACCTCGACAAAGTCACTACCGCAGCCACTGAATTCGAAAATAACCACCACGACACGGTTGCCCGTATGGAGAAAGAACATGAGGAGGCCATAGCCACTCTAGATGATTTGCGTGCTGCAGAACAGGAGGGCCGTGAAATGGCAGAAGCCGAAGTTGAGCAAAAGAACGACTATATTCAGCAACTGGAAGAAAGCATCGAGCGCATGGAAGCCGATGTCGACAACATCACCGCAGATATGAGTACGCTCAGGGAACGTCTAGCTACTCAGACCGCTGCCCGCGAAGCTGCCGAAACCGAGCGGGATGAGCAAATCGAGCAAGTCTACAAGCACGCAAACACCATCGAGAATCTCACAGACACCGTCACTGAGCTCAAGGAGCAACTCAATGAATACCGTGACAATCTGGCTGCCGAGCGTGCTCAACGCGAGAAGACTGAGGCTGATTTGGATGAAGCCAACGAGAAGATTGAAGATCTCAATATTCGTCTTCACGATACTGGTATCCAGGCTAACGAGCTTCGCTCGAAGCTGTTCCAGCTCCAACAAGAAAAGGAAACTGCAATCAGTGAACTTGAGGAGGATGCAGAGGAGCGCGAAAATGAGCTCAACAACCAGCTGGAGTCTGAGTCTCAGCTTCGTGAGAACGCCGAGAAGATAATTGGTCGACTGGAGCAGCAGATTCTGCAGCTTGAAGGAGATATCGCGACGCTTGAGAACAATCTTGCCGACATGACTGAGTCACGCAACCAGCTGGAGCAAGACCGTGATGTCCAAGTTGCCAACCTCGCCGCTCAGCTCGCAGACCTTACTAACAAGTATGCCGCATTGGAGAATTCAACCAGCTCTACGATTGCGTCTCTTCAAGCCAACATCATCGACCTCAACAACCAAGTGCAGCGTCAACAAAGCGAAATTGAGGACCTTATTGAGCAAGTTGCTGAGAAGGAGCGCATGTATCTCGAAGATACTACCGCTCTCAAGGAGAAGATTGAGAATCTCGAGGAGGACCTTAGCAACCAGAAGGCTGAGAATGAGAGTTACCGAAGAGAGAACGACTCCCTGTCCAGACGCGTCGAGGCGGAAGCTAATGAGCTACTGAACATTGTCGGTGCACACAACGACCAGATTAACTCTCTCAATGCCGTCATCAGGTCACATGAGGCGACGATCAAGAACCTCCAAGACTCGTCCGAGAAGCGCGCGGCTGAATACGAGGAATTGCTCGAGGACCGCAACAACGAAATTACCGAGATGCGTCTCTTGGGTGATGCCCGCGTCGAGACAATTGTCCTCCTTGAAGCTCAAATAGAAGAGATGAAGGAGCGCTTCCGCCTTGCTGAAGAAGATACACGTGCGACCATCGACGCCCTGACTGCTTCGCAACGCCAACTCCAAGAACAAAATGAGCGTCTCGCCGACGATCTTAAGCGCCGCAACCAGGAAGCTCTTCAAGCTGTACAAGAAATGAAGCTCAAGCGCGTTGAAGTCAAGACGCAGGGCGTTGACCTGCACCGCGTTGTCACGGGCAAGATTGCCAAGACAAGCGAGAAGGTCAAGATTGGCAAGAAGGGCAAGAAGAAGAGCTCTAGGCGCCAATGGGATTCCGGATTTGGCGTTGATGAGAATGTAGAAGATGATGAGCTTAATGGCGAAGAACAACCGATTGCCGCATAGAGTGCGCTTGGGTGTGGTCTCGATAAGGTTTCCTGAGGCCCACTTTTCTTGGGCTCCACAAGGGATGATGTTTATGTCTCTTGGCCTTTGGTTTTTCGTCTTCTTCTTTACTCCAAAAGCCTACTTGGACATTGTCATTGTACGACCATTTTACATCTGTCTCTTCTACACCTTTCTGGGTTATTTTCCCCTTATCAAGACTGGGACAAGTTGTTTGTCTCCCCTTTTTTTGCAGAAAATTGTATGCCTCTCTTCTTCATCTTTTTCTTACTCTTTGAAGGGAGGGAAAGGCAGGAGCTTGTATTGTCTTCTTGTGTTTTATCCTTTTCAATATGAAGGGATAGATCATACTCGGGACAAAATCCATTGCTAAATTAACGACTTTTGATGACTTGGCTTCTCCTGGCTTGGTTTCTTAGGCCCATTTCTTCTTTTCTTTTTCTTTTCTTTTTGACTCGGTTTGGTTTGGAGGTAATTACACAGCAAGGCAGCAACAGTGTGTGTGGGTGTATGTATGCATGTATGTACGTATGTATGTTATTTTCCTTTGTGGCATATTAGCGGGGGTGGGGTTTCCTTTATGGTACTGTATGCCCGAATGGGTTTCATGGCGACGATGGAAAGAGGAGGAGGATGAGGATTACAACAAAGCAAGTGGTACATGTACTAGGTAGTTGGTTCAATAGCTCGCAATTCTCATTGGTCTGATATCGAACACAATGGCTCTAGTGTGCTTCACGTATACTCACCTCCCCCCTTCGTAGCCCGTATCTTATACCGTATGGGGTGGGTCTCCGATGCACTCTATGAGAGAGAGAATCAAAGGCACGTGCGCGTGCATCCTCAATCTACTACACGCCATGGTCAATCACGCCCTTGAAATACACCTCCCACCATCGTAATTATACTGGCTCCTTCCATCCCAGCTACCCTTCCCCCCCCCCCAAACACAAACACACATTACTAGGGTGTGCGAAACCCCACTTATCTACTTACCTTACCTTACCTTACCTTGCCCCTTCCCCCATGCAAAACAAAGCGGAGACCGCATTGACGCTTGGCATGAGCCGAAGCGCTGGGTGTTCGGAACCCGAGTACCCCGTCAACTTCCCCTTCCCCCCTCCTTCCCTCCCAAAAAAAAATAAAACTTAAAATAAGGGGGGGGGGGTGTCTGAGGAATAAGGACATGGATCGGGGGTGTAGGGGGAGGGAGAGATAGTTAGGTCATGAGTTTTTATTTTTAATTTTTCGAACCCGAAGCGCTCTCGGGTGGCGTTTAAGGGGGGGGTTTAAAAAAAAATTCAGGTTATATGGATGTAAAGGACGGGGGTGTGGAAGGTAGAAGGGGGAGAGAGAATGAGAAGGAGGTCAGGAAAAAGTCATGGATTTATTGATTTTTTTTGGATTGTTGTTATTGGTGTTCTTGTTGTTGTTTGCCTATGTACATGGGAGGTTGGTTTGACACATTTGTTCCTCGTAAGAAGAGTTGAAAGTAAAGGTATATACAATAACGGGACTTGGGTATTTTGGTCCCTTAGCCCCTTGGCCCCCCCCCGCCCTCCGCCCACTCTCGGGTTGCACGGTGGTCTAGGCCACGAACACATATAGTTGCATTGGTAGTGTGTTTCTTTCCGTTGCAGAAACCGTGATTACTACGGGGAGTATGCTTGTTTCCCACTAGGTTGTGTCGTATGGCCGGCTCGGGCAGTGCTCGTTTCCCGTGTGGTTGCAGGGGAGAGTGATAATGGGTTGTAGTATGAGTTTTGGGCGAAAAGAAGAAGAAGAAAAAAACTGTCATTATGGGATGTGCGGTAAAGACAAGTCTTTTAGACTCATGTTGCGGCTGTCACTCGATTCGGTGCTCCATCTTGAGTTTGGTGTTCGAGGCCGTGCTTTTCGTGCTCCGGCTTCCATTTCTTCGACATCCTCGGGCTGTGCTAATTCACTGGTGACTTGGGTGGTTGTGATGAGCTTGATGTCTGTGGCGCCTGCGCTGACGAGATCATCTGAACTATCGTTGCTTGAGGAGAGTGTGATCCTGCTCTTGTTCTTGCCCCTTCGGGTCTTTGCATGTGAGTTTGTGGCTTCGACTGTACATTCGCCACCGAAGCGTGTTGGCTTTTCTACCCAAAACACTGCGAATGTGTCTATGCCGTTTTCTTCAGAGGGCGGTTCATCACTGAATATCAGGATACGTCGGGTGATTGTGTAGAGGATGACGTCGAGCCAACCGTTGGAAGTGATGATTGCGCCACAGAGGCAAAGGCGTGCCAGTGACGGTGGGCTGCCTGACATGGCCGCCATACGCGCGCTGGCGAGAGGAATGGTGCAGATAATATATACAAGAGGATATACGACCATGAGGTTAGCGATGGACCGTACTCGTTCAGACTCTTCGGGCTTGTAGTGACCCGAGCGAATGCGGACGATCAATATCGCATAGATAAGGGCGTAGATGATGACGTTGCCGAATTCACTTGAGAAAAAAGGTTAGCATGAAACACCGGGGCTGGCAGTATGATGCTTACGCGACGAAGATCCAGAAGTAATGGGTCCATAGTCGAAGGTCTTCATGGTTATGACTGATCCAGCACCATACACCGGATCGAACGTAGATACCCTTGCCATGCACGAAGATAGGAACGGTAGAAATCCCAAAGATGAATAGCCAGAGCAGGAATATAGCTAGGTAAAAGGCCCGGGGTTTAAGTCGGTAGTTTAGGATGACGGACGCAAAGGTATGCAGACCGATGGCGAGACACCAGATGCCACTTCCCAAATCACCCGTCGAGACTAGCCAACTCTGCGCAAAGCAAATAGGATTTTTCACTTCCAAAGATCCCAGTCTCAGCCATTCGACGTTTAGCAGGAACGCAAGGGATTGTTGTATGTCGGCCCAGAGAAGGTTGAAGATTAGGATGACGAATTGGTTACTCCGTTTGGACCGGAGTTGCCAGGACACGAGCTTGTAGGTGAGGACCAGTAGAAGGGATACCGAGGCGAAGAAGCTGACAAAGCCCAAGACGACGACTGCGCGTAACCATGGATGGATGTACTCTGGTAGTACAAACGAAGCAGAATCGGAGTCGTGGGGCTGAGTGGTCATTGCAGCAGGCAGGTCGGTTGACGCTCGTCTCGTCTTGTCGCTTGGAGGGCAAAGATGTTACATGCCAAAAACAAGACCTGTCTTGCTGTTCAAAAATATCATACCGAGTCGGCCAGGCATGAAGCGGGTATGGAAGGGAAAAGGAAATGGGTGGCGCAGGGAAAGAAAAAAGATGCAGCACCGGCGCCGGGAACAAGCAGATCAAGTAGGTGATGCACGGTTGGCAGATGGGTCAAGCATGCTGAGTGTGCCTCCGCATGGCCTCGAAGAATTGTAATCTGGGGGCCCACTGTAAGCTGGTGTGTTGGATCCTCCCCCCAGTCCCCCACCGATAGTACGGGACGCGCTAGGATGATAGCGCAGCTCGTGGCATCCATGTTGCAGGCGCAACGGAGAAGGATGTTAGCCTATTACTCCTTTGACAGGCGTCTCTACACGAAACGTACAATAGCCGGCGCGGGGAAAGTCTTGTAGAGTGTGTAAGTGGACTAATCTAATGGTACATACAACTCTAACTTGACAGTCAGCGTTGTCGGCGCACTTGTACTACCTCCTAGCATGCGGCATAGCCCAGAAGCTCCTCGGAATCCTGTAGAGTGTATGTCATCAACATGCTTCCCGTCCCCACCCCCCACACAGAGCAACATGCTCGATTTGGGCAGAGGTGAACAATTGAGCGTCATCTGACCAGCATGAGATCAGGCAAGCAGTGGATAGTACAAGGACCACGCGCGGCAGGCCCGGGGTCCACTCTATTGTCGACACTCCATGACTCTGGGCGCTGCACCAATGATTCGGTGGCGCTTGTCGAGGTCGTGGAGAGGCACCTGGTCCGGTTCCTCTTCGGTTGATATGGAAGCGAGAGCCGACGGTTGGTTGGTTGGTTGGTGTAGACTTGTCAGGTTGTGGCTGGAAGCCACTTTCGCATCTTTACAGAATCCCCCCCCCCCCCCCCCCCCTGGAAGCCACTTTCGCATCTTTACAGAATCCCCCCCCCCCACCCCCAAAAAAACGCCTCTCGTCAACGGTGTCGCGAGACGCCTCTCTGGCGGAAGTCTTGTTTGCTCGTCATCATGTTTTGGCCCATGCATGAAAGAGGGACGATCCGCATGGAAGTCGTGTGTATCACGCTACTGGGTATGGTGCTATTTGGAGCCAGGTTCCCCTATCCGCTGGGCCCTGAAGAAGAAAGCAGGAGTGGCCTCGCAAAGCAGCAATGGCATTTCCTCGTCTTCCCACTGGCCCATCGGCGCATATCGATCTTGCTAAAGGTCCGGTAACCAGGTGGGTAATCTACCTGACCTTCCTGATGCGTGTGGATAATGTGCCATAACACGTCTGGCGGGCGCCCAAACTTCAGGCTATCATGGCGCAACAACCACAGGGCGGAGCATCCATGGCATCAACGACGGCGTGGGGCCAGTCTAGCGCGCCCTGCATGGCTGCATAGAACACATGGACATGAGCGAGCCAGCCAATCAGCAGGGCGTATGCTGATGGCCTGTGAGACTGGCGACGCGGGAGATGCACCCAGCTCATCTTTTCGGAACAAAGGGTACAGAGATAGGCCCTACTCGACGTACTTGTTTACGAGCCCTTCTAGAACCACGGATAAAAGGAGTCGGCGGCGCACAGCTTGTTTCTTTCGCTTAGTACTATACTACTTAGTAAGTAGCACATCAATATAGCCCAGCCGTGCGGGACAGATGCAAACAAATTCTAGTGTACACATCAGCAACGCATTCCCCTCGATAATCCCTCGGAAAAATTGCTTTTCAGCAGTGGCTGGCTACGCACGGGGGGGCCGATTGATTGATTTTACCCCGGAAATAGCAGTGTTGGCCGCGTTGGCACAAGAAGTGCTAGGCCCCTTCAGGCCGGCTAAGCTCTGCGCCCCAAACATGTGCAATATCGCTTCAAGACGTCCTGTTCGTCCAGAGGTCCTGTCCAGCACGCTCGTCGCTCCGTTTCAGAGCACCCAACTACCCAGTCCAGTGCCCAGACATGCGCCGTAGCCTCGACGTTGCATCATGGGCCGCTTGCCACGACATTGGCGATACCATCACTATAGCCATGGCTGGCGTTACGAACCGCTTGACCGGGAGTGGGAACATGTTTGCGCGTGAGCACAACACGACCCCAAGCCCTGGCTGCTTGACAAAGTCATATCATGCCAAGCCAGAGCACTGTCACGAGCGCGCTACCATCTGCCATTGGTGCTGACAGCAGGGCTGAAGCCCTCCGAGACATCCGTAAGCACCACCAGGGTCTGCAGATCGCTTGGCCCCATACCTTTGTTTGTTTCCAGAATCCAATTCCTGCTAACTATGCTTACTTACTTACTTACGCGACCCGACCTTCGCTTGTTCCCGCAAACAATTGACTGAAGCGAAAGGAATCCATCCCGAACGAACGTGCACCTTGATCTTGTTGGCCCAAAAAGGAACGGCACAAAAGCACCTGGCATGGCAGAATTGCCTGCAAAAGAATAGTCTAGCTACACTTTTGTCTTTTTTAGCGCAGTCTCGTGATCCACGCCAATTAGAAGTGGTAACAACGCCAAGTACACTTAAGCCTCCATACAGAACAGGTATACCCATGCCCTGGGGAAAAAAAAAAGGCCGTACCGTCTGATCTGCACTCCGCCGTGTGGGAAAAAAAAAGACTGAGGTCATTGCTGACAAGAGAAAGAAAGTGCGGTCGCTGCGCTGGTCCAGTTGGAGGAGAGTGACGAAGGGCGGTGCAAAAAAGACAGCAAAAGGCAGTGGTAGCGAGAAAGGTAGCGAAGAGGAAAATGACCAAGCATCCGAGCGTGCTACGTAAGCGAGTCTTGGGGATCATATCGTGTTTGCGCTGTCAAGACTAATGAACAAACAAAAATAACTTCTTCATCAAAAGAACAAGTTTGAGTTTACACAATTCTGGTTCCAGGTGGAAGAAGGAATGGCAATGCTCGAGACAAAAAAAAAGGTGCTTTTCGAGAGAGATTTGGGTCACCTGAGGTACACATGGTGTATCCGATGACGACACCTCTCTAACCGCAGATCAACTCGAAAACCAACAATATGTGCGAAAATCATGTTCTAGAAAGCCAATCCTCAATCTCTTGTTTGATCTGCTGATGCTCGAGCACTTTGGTGCGTTGTTGGTCCGCAACCCCGCATTTCTGCTTTCCTTACTCCCATCAAGCAGGTAAGTAGCTTGCGAAACTCTCATTACGCGTTTACTCCATTGTGCCAACGCATCGCGGACATGTATGGCTTAATGATCTCCGTTATTCGGACCTTTTGTATCAATAGCCACATGATTCCAAGGGTCATCCTGGACAACTCAAGATGAAGAGAGAGAGAGAAAAACGCAAGTCCTTTTGCTCTCTCGTTCATACAAATGAGAGGAAAAAGGCAAGAATTGTCACTGTAGAAAAAACATGCTTATCCATTTTCGGAATCGGAAAGCATGGAAAGTGGTCATGAATCCATTCTTTTGGTTTTTTTCTCATTCCATCCTTTTCTTAGGGAAGTTCAGAAATCTCCCATCCCATCTCTTGAAAAGGAAAAGCAGTTATAGAATGGGTTTTGAGGGATTCTAAGATCGAACCAGGCAAACTAACTAACTAACTCTCTCTCTCTCTGGGCCTTTTCAAAATCACGAGACCTAGTCGTTTCGAAATATTCTCAGCATAAAGAGAAAAATGGAAAAACTGCAAAATTAAACATCAGATAGAAACTTTGCTGCGTTTTCCTTTTCTTAAGTAGTTATTATCCACTCAAGGCAGGTTATACATATCACCGCTAGCTCACAAATGTCTTCTCCAGCAAAAATCAACCCCTTTCTTCTTCTATAAATAGGGAAAAATCTCGTTTAGTTGTTTGCCATATAAGCTCTATTTCCCTCAAGAAACGGCGGGTCTCTTGCTACTCCTAGGTACTGAGGGCCTCCGATTACAAAAGCATATTAGCATCTTAACTCTTATCATCGTTGGGAATTTTCTTCCTCGGCGTTCAAATAACTACTCCCTGGGATCTGCCATTCTTTGTTAATTACATGACTATTATTTGTAAACATCGAGCTGCCAATTACACACATCTTAGAACCCGATCCAGGGGAATGTACAAGCCCGTTTTCATATCATCAACATCTTCAGAACCCATAGAATGAATCCCTTCTTCGGGGCGCTTTGTTGGTTCGAAAACCGTTGGTTGCTGAGCATGCGATGATACCGATCCACGTCGAGTCATCATAACTTGGCCATGTTCCGAAGATTGATTTGGTACAGCGGGGACTCGAGTAGGGATAGATGGTAAAGATCTTGGTACTTGGAAATTCCGCATTTGCATCTTAACGACCAGAGAGAATATGCTCGCTCTTCTTCCCCTCTTCACGCTCATCGAGGATTAGTTATATCTCACCATTTACGGTCTGTACAGACCATGTATCAATAGAGAAAGGTCTAGAAAAAGCATCTGGCTGGCCATGGAGCTTTGTCTCTTCCTTTGAGCTACGTTTGATGATTTCTGGATCTTCATGATATTCTCGCTATTGGAGGTACTGCCATTTACGTGTTAGAAAGTAGGACGCCTAGTAGTTGCTTTTGGAGGAATTGCTGGTATATTTCTGCAGGCTTTTGTAAGAACTCCATACTGTGACTGGATGGATCAACCAGTCTTACTTCCAGTATCCTACTGGGCGAGTATCTGATGCTGGACTGGGTCAATTTGTCACTTTACAACGATCCTGAAAAAATTCGTAGGAACCCTTGGCACTAAAACAATGATCAAGTGCCTATGACTATATTTAGGAGGCTGCGCATTTCCCCCTAATGCCATCTTGGTAGGTAAAGGAGAGGCAGTGTTTTGGTCATCACCATTTGCATCCGTATCCCTATCCACAAGGAAACGATCTTGAAGGTATCTCTCAGCTAATGAAGTCGATATGTCACCAGGCAACAGATTACTCCAATGAGGAGAGCTGGCCTTGGATGGCCGCTCGCAGCTACTTTACCGAATCGACGGGCCACTACATAAAATCCACTATCATCTCAACAAGAAACAAGCACCTTGCTTCAAAATTTCCATCAAAATTGATCTCGAGACATACACGAAGTGTCATCCTGAGCAGGTACACATTACTCTAGTATCCGATCAGGCCGAGTCTCGTGCTACCCCAAAACCCCTAGAATCTCCAAAAGTACTCGCTTCCGCCATTGCTACAGGAAGTTGCGGCGGTTTCACTTGAATGAGAAGTTGAAGCAGTTTGAAAGTATGCATCAAGTATACAAGTCTAAAAAAGTCCAAGTGAGAAAGACTCGAGGGAACATATCTCACTCTGACATCTAGTGATGTGCTACTGGCATCAGTTTCTGAGAGATTCAAATAAATCTTGGATATGCTGTGGTTGTGCATATAGTGGGCATGAATGCGATGCGTAGACGTGCTAGGAACTGGTTGAGCCGTACCCATGGGCTTTCTGAAAGGTGCTATGGAGGCGATACCATTGATGTCGAGGAATTACAGTAGCAGTGGCAGAAGAAATAGCATGGAATCCTCTATTCACCAACAACGGAAAAGGAAATATTTGGACTACTGTAGCTGCATACGCCACGACTACCTTTTCTTTCTCGACCAAAACAAATGCGATTAAACATTTTTGAGAGACTGTTGGGCTGCATATTTACTATCTACTAGCATATTTCAGTGATGCCCTATAGTAGAACCTCCCCAAAAAAAACATCCATCCACTAGACCAAGCAACCGTTTTTCCACAGCTTGGACCGCCTGTTCTCTGCCATGTATACACGCCTTCATGGGGCGCAGATGAAAAAAAAAGAATAAAACAAATTATGCAAAAATATGTGTATAAAGAAAGCTTTGGGGTAAAATGCGTCTCTAACAATAGATGCCTTCGTATAATCGTTTGATGGGTGGATCTAAGAGCAAAATGAACGAATAACTCTTTCGAGCAAAAGGTAGAAAAATACTGAGAAGCTGCAACGGCCATCTAGATCCGGTGTAAGACAGCCAAAACAACAACAACAGATGATCTTATTTAGGAGAAATAAAATGGTTACGTAGGAGAATCATCATCATCGCAGTGGGGACGGCGCTCGCCCATCCACCGGGGTTGGCTCTGTTGTAATCTGTATGCTGGGCAGCCGTTCCAGGTCCAGATTCAGAGCCGGTAATTGCGGGGCTCTGGTATTGATCGGGCTTTCGTAGTTTGGTGGGTCTTCGTATGCAGGGGCTTCTTCTGCTGGAATGTCTACATGTGGCGACGGTGCGCTGCTTCCGCTGCGACTTGTTTCTGGGTTTAGAGAGATCACCTCGAAGCCTTCACTATTGCCATTCGAATGTGAGTGCGAGCTAGTACGGGAAGCATCGGCAAAGTCGTAGTCGTCAGATGCGTGGGACTCGACAGATTGAGCGAGGGAGGTTACGGAGAGGCCGCGTTGGTGGGTATCGTTGGTGTAGCCACGAGACCGACCGCCTCCACTAGCAAAGGAGGCTGCCGAGTCAAGTAGGGGGCGATGGTCGCTCTCTGAAGAGTTTGCGCGTAGACGAGTGCCATCGTGCCTTGCAACACCGAGATCACCATAGGCTACAGACGAGACCCGTTGCTCACGGCTTCGTGTTCTGGCTTGATGCTCGGCAATGAGCATTTGTGATACAGAGAGATCTGCTGCCTCTTCTGCTCTTCGTCGAATGTCTGCAAGTGCCTGGACGTCGCCTCGTGCTCGTGCCTCTCTCCGCGCTTGTCGGCGTGCTTCTCGTTCCGCTGCTTCGACTCGCCGTGCCAATCGGATTTGGTACAGAGACTCCATCTCCTGCTCTCGTTGCATTTCTTCTTCATCTTGTGTTTCTGGGAGTTCAATGACGTTGTCCATGCCTGCCCGTTCGCCCTCTCGTGCCAGCACCCTCTCATTTTCCCTCGCGGCAGAAGAGTATGCGGGGAGTGTCATAACACTGCGAATTGAGGTATTGCGGTCAACGCCATTCGTGTTGGTACTGCCAATATTCCTCTCGGGATCTCCTGTTGCTGCGCCGCTCATCTCACCGCTTGCTCTACTGGTGCTTCCGCGGTACTCGGTATCCTGCAAACTGGTCGAGTATCCATTTCGGCGCGGGCGCTTGCGGAAGTTCTTCCACGAGAACAGCGAGGGTAACTTGTCTTTTTGTGCTTGTTGGGCTTTGCGGGCGGACGGTGCGCGATACTTGATGGTGAGGAAATAAGTGATTATGAGTATAGTGAAGATGCCTCCGGTAGCAACTCCAACCTGTGCAGCCAAGCGTTAGCAAAGTTTGATTCGGGCGAAGCGTTTGAGGTTGGCTGTGGCAGGCGGGCAAGGGCAGGAGGGATTCAACATACAACAACAAAGGTCCTGGCCTGGTTGGAGAGTTCTCGTTTCCCCAAAGCCTCGTCGGTGGCATGATGGGCGGGCAAAAACATAGTACTGATAAGACCCTGTACCGGTCTGGTCCAAACGTCCAAACGGTCAAACGGTAAGTGCGTCAACCAAGAAGTGTGAACGGAGCTTTGTTTTCGCAATGAGATCACTCGTTCCGAGTAGTGTGGATCGCCCAGGCTTCGGCAGGCCCGCGTCCTCGGCCCTGTTATGCGCTACTGATAGGCGTGGAACCGTTGCGTCCAAACAGCCAGGCAAGCGTCGCGAAGCCTGTATCTGTGGTCAGGATGTTCGGCGTTATAGATGTATAGAATAGGAACAAGTGAACAGGAATGGGGAGGGGGACTGCTGTAAGCTATGTTCTGGGCTGCGCCCGGATACCTGCCTTGGCGGCAGGCTGATGAATGATGCGGAATGCTGTGTTGATTGGAAGCTGTGGCCAGGGGTCCTGTGGCTGGGGCCCAAGGCTAAGGAGGAGGCTGCGTATACATGCCAGCTTCAAAAGAAACATGCACATGTCAGTACCGTGTCGATTGACCACTTTGCTGTCCATATGCGGGGTTCTGGCATCACTGGCACCATCATTGACTTTTATCTCTAGCTTTCTCACATCAGCGTTGGGAGGCAAGCTCTAGCCTTGTCATGCCAAAAGCCTCGTGCTATTTTTGGGCGCTTGCAGACTCAAGGATACGCTAGCACCAAATTCTGATTAGAGCTCCTCCTCGGCCGGCATAACAATCGCAAATTCACGTGCCTATTCACCCGTCGATCTATTCCCCCTCAAAGTGGCACAGTCGCCCTTGTTGCCCTTGTGGCGGTGAAATGTGTACAGGGGTATGTGTGTAATTTCATTAATCAAGGCCGTCACTCCGTCACACGTCTACGCTTGCTAAAAAGCTCCAAAGTAGGTACAAAAAACATTGCGCTCGTTTCCCGGGCCCTCAAAATTTCTTGTCCAATTTCTTCAAGAAACTGCCAATGCCCTTCTCCACTTTGTCCACCCGTTTGCCAATGTTGGAGTTGCGTTGTGGTGCATTCGGGTTCGAGTGGTGGTGCACAGCAGCTTCGCTCTCAGTCGGCCTGTAGGCCTGCTGGTGTATGCTCTGCCCTTGTGTTGCCTGTGCTGCTGTACTGCCGTATTGAAATTGTGAGTAGCCAGGTGAAGCCATGGGCTGGTACTGTTGGGGTGGGAAGCCAGGCGAGGGCACGGCTGAATGTGCGGGAGGAGACTGAGGAGCCGGAGGAAAGCCAGGGGAATTGGGATAGTTGGCACTGGCATACTGTTGAACAGGCATGGTTGAAGTCCGGCTCAATGCTGGCGGGGGCGGAGTGTTGTTGACTTGGCCTAGAGGAGGAGCAGATGGTGGTGGCGCAAATGATGGCGGGCTCTGCGGTGCACTTGGTACTGATCCTGCGGTGTTTGTACGCTGCACGCCGGGTGGACCAGTGAAGCCCTGTCCTGGAGCAGGTGGTCCAGGAAAGTATGCTCCCGACGTTGGCTGGGGAGCGAACGACGCTTGCAAAGGATTGCTGTATTGCGCGGCATGCTGGTCATGCATAGCAGAGGCTCCAAGACCAGTTCCATCACTGGCATCTTCTGGTGGAGGTGTCTTCTCACGATGAGCAATGGGTTCAGGTGCGGCAGGCGCAGCAGGGTTGTAAGCCATTGGGGCGTAGTTGGGCGGTTGCTCGCTTGCAGGGGGCGATGTTGGTGGAGGAGCACTTGGAGGACCAGGAAACGACTGTGTAGTGCTGATACTTGGGCTCCGGCTGGTGTGTGATATGGCTGCATTCTCCAGTCGAGCAATGACAGGACTAAACGTATCGTTCTTGTGCTCAGAGTGTGTTGGGGTTGCATTGGGATTGCGCGTGATCTGCAGTTGGTGTGGTTGTAGTACTCTGCGGATGGAGTCTAGAAAGAGACTCGCATCCTCTGGCGTCCAAAAGTACATGTCTACTGTGTGTAGCCTGTACATGTATTTGCCCTGATTCGAGGGGTCAGGGGTAGGGAGGTGCCATTGCGACACGTCTTGATGAGGGGTTGCGGTTCCATTGTGGCTTTGGAATGCGTCGACTGTCAGGGTGAACAGACATGGGTGCTTGTATGTCTGCTCAATCTTCACTGTGTCCAGTTCTGTGCAGTATCCGCCATCAGCCTTTGCGCTCTGCAAGACATATCTTTTCGCGAAGACTTACGACCGGCAAAAGCATCTTGATGGGGAGTGCCTGCATGGTTTGCTATCTCGATGCGCCCACTCTGGCGCATGGGATCGTGGTAGAGATAGACATAGGAGCTCTTGTCGAAGCGGTGGTGTGGGGGGGTTTGTGTAGGCGGGGAGATGTAGTAGTGCACATCTGCGAAACTGTAGAAAACATCAGAAAAGAGGGCGTTTCCCGCCTAAGGACACACTACTTACAGTGTCAAGAGTGACACCTCACCCTGCTGTGGAGGCATCGTGTTAGTGTGAGTGTGAGTGTCTAGTCGGGCGTCCAAGATATCTGACAGCCTAATATGTGGAGAAGGCTGTGGCTGAGTAGCAACGCCAGATTGTTAGCATTCAAGACGAGCATGAAGAGATCAAAGGCATATATAGGGTGCAAGGCTATCATGTAATCGGATCATAGCTCCTAGCAATAACTGCGTAGACTTCTATTTGTGTCGTCCTCGAAGCGCCCGCCTGTTAGCGGGGAGTTGACTAGGCGCTGGCAAGCTTCCATCGAATCGCAGTCGCCGAGGGACGATCCACTCGTGACTTGCGGACTTCCGAGCCAATCCAGAAATTTGCTGCAATCGAACAATCCGCCGACAACACCACGACGCGCAATTGAGCCTCGCCGCTGCGTCGAGCATCGCCGCCAACCTATTGTGGAGTCAGTACAGTCCATCGCCTGGAGAACATAATCCCCCTCCCCCCGCCATCGCGCCCGCTCGCTTCGCAGCCCATTGAGGGCAAAATCCTATCACCACCACCGCCATGTCTCTCGTCAACCTAGCACACGTGTGCTCGCACATGCAAAATGCATCCAAAGCCAGACTCGGGCTGACATCGATACCCGTCTCTAAAATGCACGTCAAAATTGCGCTGGGCCTACAGCGCGAAGGCTTCCTCTCTTCCGTCACACTCGGCGGACCCACACCACCAAAGCCTTTTCTCCTACAAGCACAACAAGATCCTGAGCAACTAGAGCATATGGCGCAAAAACTCAAAGACGAGCCCTGGCTTGCGTACCCAGTCAAGACCCCACAAGGCCAGAAAGAGCAGGCGCCACTCGGCCACGAGCAGGTCCACGACGTACACGTACCAGAGAACCCGGCGCGGAGGAGATTATGGCTGGGACTGAAGTACTGGCAGAACGAGCCGGTGCTGACCAACATGAAGCTGATCTCAAAGCCCACGCGGCGGATATGGCTGACAAGCGAGGATCTGGGCAAGATTACACGAACGCGCGAGTCGAGCTACGTAAAGGGACTTACGCATCCTGGCGAGTGCATGTTTGTCACGACCGATCGGGGCATCCTCGAGGCAAGAGAGTGTGTGGAGCGGCAATTGGGAGGCATGGCTCTTTTTAGAGTGTGGTAGCAGCAGTATTATCACTGTACTATGTATTTTGTAAGAGGTCTTTGCACCGGTATCACGAGAAAGAGGAATGGCATATATGGGAGCAGGGCGGGCAATGGAACCCGCGCACCATGCATTTGTACAAAAGAAGATATCAACTACATTCTCATACCACAAGTCGGCAAGCTATTTTTTTGTAACCATAGGAAACGCCTTGCTGGTCATGCCCAAAGCTCTTCAGAGGCCCTATGGGAAAGAATTGCTCGTGCGGTGTTAGCTCACTAGCGTGGTGGTCGGGTTGCAGCGGTGTAGGGCGTGTCAGGGACTCAGGGTCGATGCGAGTCAAACGTCGCTCTATGCAAACCACGGATATCCCGGCATCAGCAACTTTGTTTTCTACGTTGTTGACCGGTTTTTTTGTCGATTGACACGCTGTTTGGCCCCACACGTCTTAGCCGTTGCTAGTGTGAATAAGTCTGTATTTGCGGAAGTCATTCATGGCCATGCTATTGTTGGTGGAGTTTGAAATCATATTCGAGATTATGCGGCTATCTACAATAAACAAACAATGTTAAACCTCGACACTAGGGGATATCCTCGCACAATCGTCGTAATCGTGCCAATTCATTCCATTTCTGTTCCAATACCTGCAGGCATTGGTGAAATGGCGGCATTTCCAAGAAAATTCGTAATATAATCACATTCGTCTGCCACATGTTCCCAAATCCTCGTGGGTCCCGAATCCTCATACTCATGATATTTTGATTAATACAAACGTTTCATATTCATGACAGCAAGTGCTTATACAACATAGCTGCGTCGGCTGCGGCTGCGGCTTCGGGTGGAGTAGCGGGGGCTACGAGAGCGGTGGCCGTGACGAGATCGGTGAACTTCGCGCTTAACGATGACACGATCTTCACGGTGATGGCGGCTAACGAGCAGGGCCAGGATTGACGTGATGAAGAAGAAAATGATGTTCCTGACTTCAGTGTTAGTACCAGCGGACTTGTTCGTCGGGTCGAAACACTTACATGATTCCGAATGCCCATGACGCCTTGAGCATAGCACAGGAACGGTCCACGTCCCAGCCCCAGGTGTTTCCAGAAATAGTGAACAATCCCAGATCAGTGCTGTAAGATCCTCTGCGGTTGATGCTGGAGCAGTCTGCATCAGCGATGCCTCGGAGCGCATAGACGGCACCAATAAAGGCGCCGACGAACAAGAGGTCGATAAAGGCAACGAATTTGGCAGAGTGCCTGGCGCGTGTGTAGAGGAAGAGAGTGGCCATGACCCATGCTGCACCGAGTACCGAGACAATGAAGAGAACGAGAATGGATGTTGGAGTGAGGAGCCGGCGCGAGTTGTACCAATCGACGAACCAGGCCAGCATACCCAGCGTCGGTATGAGGGTGACGAACTGGAAGATGCGCCAAAAGATGAAGGATAAGCCGGCGAAGGACATGATGGCAGTGGGTGCGGGCAAGACGGCCTCGACGCAAGAGATAGTTGTGTGTAGTAGGAGAGCAGCAGATGGGCGAGGCCTGGCGGGGTACTACTGCAATCCGATGAGATGATGCAAAATGACGACGCGCAGAAGCAGAAGAAGAAGAAGGGTCGAATGGGGTGCTTTTATGATCTGGAACGGTCCGGGATCAGTTTCTGCCTTGCCTACGAGTGGGCGGCAGTATGCGACAATGCTCGGAGAGGTGAGCCGATGTGACGTATTGTGGATGGAAACCGGGCGCGATACTTTAAAGTGGGCATGGGCGAATGGCGGGGGAGGCTGGTATTGTGTGGCTGGATGGTGCCTTCTGCATTTCTAGCCAACCAAGACACCACCATGTCGTCCTTCAAACAACATACCCACACCACCCACACACACACCGGCCTCAAGCCAACAGCCACTATCAAACGTCGTCGCGGCGCTAACCTTCTGTCTACACGCCAGACCCCGAATCCTCGGTGCGCCTTCGCTACGCTGGGTTCGCGTCCAAGCCGCCAGCGCACATAGGCGGGCATAGGCGGGCATGCGCAGTGGGCCCAGACAGCTTGAACAGCTGTCGCCGCCCAACCCACTTCCCGTATGCCAGACGCACCACTGAGAGAGATGGATGCCATCCAGCCCAGCATTCCCCGGCCCCGCCCTGCAGGCGAGCTTTTTGCTCATCATCCAGTGCCCTGGGTCGAAGCTCCCCTTACCCTAGGTGTACGCTATCTGTCTCTCCAGACCAAAGTTGAGCCCTGTGTCAATCTGTCAATCCCGAGCCCGTGTCAATCGTCATTCTCCAACTATATAGAGTGCAGTGTCCCATGCTAGCGTCCTCCTGAACATCACACTATGTCAGCAGCATTCAACACCCGTCGTGCCGTCTCCGTCCCCTATTCAACAGCAAGGAGATTGCTGACGCCTGAGACGAGCACAACAGCCGGCTTGCCAACATACTCGGCTGGGCCACTCCTGCGCCTTTGACCCCAGACACCCAAGACCTGCACTGCTATTGGTCTCCCTGTCCGGCTATGCAGCTTTCCTGCAAAGACGTCGCTTTTGCTTTGTGGCTGCTCGCTTCGCGGATGAACATGCAGCAACCGGTAGGCGTAAAGTTCTTATCAGCAGCCAGTCCGCATCTGACACTGCCCTGTGCTCCGCATCCTGAGTGCCGGGACGGGCAGACATCAATCTTCGAGAACAGCTAGGTTCCAATATGTATTGCTCCAGCCCATGCAGCTGCAGGCAACCTGGTCAATCCCAAATCTATCCCGCTCTCCACACTTTCTGGACCTTTTGTTTGTGTTCTTCTGTGCCTGTGTTGGTTGCCTTGACGCCTTCTTGCGGCGCAGTCGTATTTTCTTTCAGCTGCTCTCTTGCCTGTCCCTATTTCAACCGGGTACCACGACTTTGACACATCACCCCAACATATACTGTCCTTTTTGTTGATGACACTTCGGTTATGCTGCAAAATTGGAGTATCGACTGGAGACGTTAGGCCAGCAACCAGCGCCACATATTGTCTGACACGAAAGTATCCAAATCCCCCGAACCCTCGTTAGATTCGCCCAAGAAAGCTTCCTGGATATTCGATACTGCCCTCACACGATCCCACAGCACTACCAAGGACGTACCTCTAAACACAACTCAGGGGTTGCGTCTGCAATATCGCTTAAAAATGTCGGCTCGAGGCGCTCGAAGCCGGAAAGTCCAGCAAAAGCAAGTCGAGAAAAACGAAAAGAAGGGCTTAGCGAAAGGCAAATCCCCAGAACCCATCTCTGAAAGTCATGATACATTCGCAGAATGGCACACTTCGCCTGAACCCACTAACCCAAGGACCGGTATTTCTCGTTCTCTCACAGTGTCTAGCAGCAACACAGATGTATCGTCGGAAAGTCGGTCTCGAAGAATAAAACCACCAACAGCTGAGTCGGCCTCGGTGTCGGACGTGTCTTCGAAGGGCAAAGAGAATATGAAATTCCAGACTAAAGGCAAGGATACCGCAGCACCTCGCGGCAGAGGTGGGGGCGTCCCAGCAAAGAAAACGGTTGCGCCTTCACCTATACCTCCAGTATTTCGATCCGAGTCGGGAGCTCCCTACTCCTTGTCGCCTAATCAAAAGACATGGATGAACTTCAAAGTATGGAGTGGAGGCAAGGACGGAATGCGCCCTTACGGAGGGTTTGAATATGTATGTATTTGTTACTGATTCGTAGCATCACGCTTGTCTCTGACACAATGCACCAGGATGAAGATATGCAGCATGGGAGTGTGCTCATCTACTTCAAAGAGGAACAGGCTGACGATGATCGCCCAATACCATCTATAAGAGCAGAACTGGAAGTACTGCAGAATGCGGGCTCTACTTGGCTGAACAACGCTTTGCTCTACGGTCAAATAGACGACAACGATGTTGATGATTGGACACTTTCGGAAAGCGCAAGCTCGGCATCTGGGCGGCCTTCGCCAAATCTTCCGCAATCTACTCAGACACGAATGCTGAGTCCAACTTCTCCAAATGGAAGATCTCCATCCTCCTTCAATATCGACCAAGTACATTCTAGTATAGATTCTAGAGCTGCCCCCAGGAACCACCATCTAGATCGTTCAAATTCGCCTCCGTCGTTTCGTCAGACCAAAAAATGCAATGCTACCCATGAGATATGGTTCACAGCACCAAGCAAGGTGAAAACACTTCAGGCGCAAAGGCTACACTTTGTCGCTATCCGCAATTTTTTGGCAATGCTGCATGGAAAGCCCATCGTCGGTTCAGATGTGTATGAAATGCTGTGCACACTACAACCAGAAATACAAGTGATGTACGACCTTGATTCAGATGCCAGATCAGGCATAACGGCTCGAGAGCGTAGCGTGCAAATGATTACAAACTACCTGGGTCAACACGGACTAGACGACTTGCGCAACAATATCCAGCATGCTCTTGGGCTTCTCGCGTGGGCGGAGCAAGACACTGTGAGATGGAGACAAGGATACCTCGAGAGTTTTGTCCACTTGTCTGGCGTCATGACACCAGAACTTGAAGACCGTTCCGACTTTAAGCGTTTGTCAGTCGTCACTCGACGGAATCTAGGCATTGCTGGAAAGACGCTACGACTGCGTATCATGGAAGCAGAGGATAAACTGTCCAGTTTCAACTTCAGTGATCTATGGGAAGACATGCCAAAGGCCACCAATAGTCCGGTTTACCAAAGCTATCAGAATTTTCGACAGTTTCTCATCTCCCATTTTACAGGTATCTACGGCAACTGGCCACCGAGTTCTGACAAAACCTGGCTCAACCGCAAAGTGGTGCATGGACTACAGGAAGACTTTGGATCTCTCTACGAATACTTTGTCGATCGAGATGTCTTCTGGAATCCCCGTGAAGAGCGCGCAACTAGAAAATGGGAGATGGCCCATCGCAAGAATGATAACTTCAGTGCAGATCTCCCGGAGCTTGGAATGACGGACATGTTGGTCAGATACGACGCGAAGAATGGCTATGCACATATACCGCATCCATACCCTTTACTGCCAAGAGAGGTACCGAAGGATGTCAAGGAAAAAGAGAAGAAGGGCTTCTTTGCATCGCTGAAGAAGGATAAGGCCAAGGATACTACAAAAGATGCGAAAGCAAATTTGCAGCTTTCTATTATCTTCAGTGATGCGACGAACATTGAAAAGCTGGAGGCCAACTTCCATGGTAAGCTGATGTCCTCGGGAGACTATAGCAACTTCATTCTGACCAGTATGCTACCTAGGGTCTACTCTGATCGATAAATGCGAGCAATTTGAGCTCACGACCAACTTGAAGCAAATGTCGCCACGCGAAGCACGTCTCGGACGCTGGGTTCTCCTCTACGGAATCCTTCAAGTCCTCTCCACTTTGTCCGTTGACGTCCAAGGCCTCAAGTATACTGACGGGGTGCGATACTTCCTCAATACAGACTTGAAGCGCCTGCCTGAATGGGTGAGTAACGGCCAGGCAGAGCACTTGGAAGCCACACAACAGCAATCATGGTGCTGGCAGCGTTCATGGGACCCCATGCCCATTCCCAACGCACCCGTGGAACTTGAGGCCCCATTGCGCAATGAACGTACGAACCGTTCCGACAACTCGCGCACTGTTGAAGCAGCAGCGCATTCTTTTCCTAGCCCGCCGCCTCAACATGCACTACCGCCACCACCACCCAGTCTTGATGGGGCGACCCTGATGCAAAACGAAATCCAACGCCTCGGCGAGAAAATCGACAATTTCTCCCTGTCTCACAGGCGGATTCCTAGTTTGAACGAAGACTACGAACGCGTGATACAAGACGGAATTCACGACTGGAAACCACGCTTACAAGGCGAGACATTTGGCCCACGCGCAACGCGCGAGAACCAACGCGATAACGCATCTACCAACGGCAACTCTATCCTGAGTCCAAGAGTAGACTCACTCCCTCATCATCATCATCCTCCTCCTGAATCCGCTCTCCCTCCACCACGAACCCAGTCGCGCATGGAAGACAGTTTCCGCCTCACAAGACCCGACTTTGACAGCCCAGACAACTCGTTTCTCGACCGCCGACAAGCCGACAGTAGTAGTGGGCTACAGCATCCGCTCAACACTTCTGCGCGGAGCCATGCGAATATCACAAGTGTGGATACAGACCTCGGAAGCTATCCCTTTAGCTCGACCGACATGCAATGGCCCGTTCCGCCAGGGTACACGGAAAGCAATGCCAACTCGTTGTTTAACAGTCGGGATAGCACGGTGCTGGGGAATAGCCAAGGGCAGAGGGAATACGGGACAGGGGCGAGGATGGGTCAGCGGCAGGTGCGTGATAGGAGCGGGTGGGATTAATGAATCGAGGTTTTTTGGTTTCCGGTTATTTCAGGGGTTAAGAAAAAGGCAAAGAGAAAGGGGTGTGGAACAGGACATGGCATTTAATTTTGAGGGGGAAGGGGGGTGAAACGTTGGATACCCTTTC